TAAATATATTTTTGTAGAGAATTGAATTGCACATCTTTCAAAACTAAATTCAAGATTTTATCTTTTTTTCTGAACTGAGATATATGAAAAATGTCAAATGTCGTAAAACTTTTGGTACAGCCGATATATATAGAAAAAGTTAAGATCGTAAAAAATTCAGTACTAAGCAAAATAATGTAATCACTATAATAGATATATACCAATGGAAGAAAAAAAAACTGTAAATATTTTATTTAATCTTTGTGTAAACAAAAAAAGAGCTCATCAACATCAACTTGGTGCATACGTATTTTCAGAAGAGAACAGAAGTTGTTTTTGTGTACTCAAAAAGTTCATACACTCTAGAATCGGCCAGTGTGTCCGGCCGTCCGGCCGTATACACGATAACGTTTGAAAGAAGAGTCCAATCGCGATGAAATTTTCTGCATAGTTTGGTCTTAACAATGTCTCGGTTGAGTTCGAAGATGAGAATGATTGGCCATGCCATTGCTGAGTTAATGCATAAATAGTCATTTTTCCCTATGCTTCCCTATGAGAAGATAGACCCTTCTCTGTTTTCGTAAAAAACTTTTCCTATCATAGTCAAATAAAACCCGAACTATTATATACCATTCGATAGAGAATTTCACGAGCTACAAAATGATATATAAAATATAAGGAAACAAGAAAGTTAACTCACCTATTGCAAAGATAATTAAACGGAATTCGGTTCTGTGTTTGTCCACGCTCTAATTGATCCATAAATAGAGCTCTATCTTTCGATCACAGAGATGATAGTTCGAGGTTTTCTGGGGTGGAGAACTCGAATCTGTTTTCCATGCGCCTCGAAATTCCATTGGTTGAGCAGTGACTAATAGAAATCAAGTTATAGGAAAAGCGAGTTTCTTAGGGTAAATCAAGGTGAATAGTTCAAATCTGAGCTGTATCTGCCTCCAAATCCTATTGGTTGAGCAGTAGCCAATAGAAATCAAGTGTTTATAGAAAAGGCTTGCCAGGACAATTTTGATGTCCACACATTCTAGGATGACTCATCTGCCTCATTCACTTTTTGCAGTACACATAACTCTCGGATTTAAATCCGAAGTTTCCGCATTTATTTTATCTGAGTTTAGAACTAATGATTGTAGATTGACGTATACGCACTTTTAATCAAGCGCAAAAAAACCTTTTTTCTGTTCTGTGCATCATTTTCTTCACAATTTGGCAATTCGCTTGTGCACTCAAGCGATAAAACGTGTCTTGTTTACCTTTCTCTTTATCTTTCTCACATTTATAAGTGCATTTTGTATCAAATATATCCGCCCTATTTTTCAATTTAATAATGGAAATAACAGTTACTCAAAATTCAACTACATTATCGATATTTTCTACGAGTGTTGAGCGACAGAGAAATTCAATTTCATGTGAATGTAAAATTTGTGGAGCATCTGCGCGATATTCTTATTATGGAGCTATTGTATGTCATTCGTGTAAAATGTTTTTTAAACGAAATGCAGAAAATAAACAGGTTAATTGAAATTAAAAAATAGTTTTTTTCTTTATTTAAATTGATTTATTTAGGCACTAACGATATGCCAGTATAGTAATAAGTGTAAGATTAATATAAATAATCGTCATATATGTGCTTCATGTCGACTTGAAAAATGTTTCAAAAATGGAATGTGTATTGAAATGATTCGACCATCTCGATGTGAAAAAAATCGAAAAAGAAAATTGATTGTTGATTCAAACCAATCAATATCAACAATGTCAGAGATAGTGAACAAAAAACATAAGTCTGAACATGTGAGTTTCTTAATGTTCTACCTATCTAAATGTTATGATCATAATAAGATTTTATATAAGAATAAAAGAGATTGTAAAATCATTTAGTATAATCACAACTAACGACTTTTACTTTTAAACTATGAAAAAAAATATTGATTATCTTAATATAATTGTTAATAAGATAAGAATTATAAAAAAACTAATTCTCTATGTTCATAATGAAAGCTCTTAAGTTGAAATCATTTCATAGTTTGACCATTGAATATATCGAAGTAGAATTAGATGTATTGTAAAAATGTATTCTCATGCGACAGTGAATACTAAGTCAAATTTGATTATCAAAAATTTTACAAAAATTAGAGTTCGTCGAATAGAACATTTTAGAATCCTGATCGGAATCTAATTTGTACAATGTGTTTCATGTTCAAACTCAGACGCCAGCCGTACTACTAATTTCAATCGAACTAAGTCTGATAATTGCTCCGGATTCTACTTCTAACAGACCGTACACATTTCTCAGACAGTCTCAATGATAATCGTATAATAAACAATTTATAGGTGACTATTAGTGGAAAAAATATAAATCGTTGGATCAATTCTGAACTTGGACCTTGACTCGATTAAGTCCGAGATGAACATGGTAGAGTCTAGATGTGATTGAAGTGAAATATTTTCATTAGGATGATAATTAGTTCTTTTCAATTAACTGACTCATCTAAATAATTCAAAAATGTCAACTCGATGTCGAAATAAATAAATATACAAAAAATTTATAGTTATTATTTATTTCTGTGTCTTAGATTCTAGATAATAATTCCAACCGGATATTATTTATATAAGTACTTAGTATGTACAGAACATGAATTCTAAGATCTTCAACATATTTCCGTAATCTTTTGTCAGATTTTGTGAACCTTTAAAAACATCGTCTATGAAAAATAATCTTTTCTTATCGTTCTTTTTTTTTAGATTCCAACATCAAGTTCCTTAGAATCTGATCAATCAATATTAAGTCTGAATCAATGGAATCTTATAGCAAATTTAGTTCATTGTTTCGATCAACATAGTGGATATGTATTTGTTGAAGATTTTCTCGAAGAACAAAACCGATTACCTGTCAAATTACGATTCAAATATCCATCAGTTTGCAATTTTTTTACATCAATGAAACGTAAAATTCAATTTATATTTGAGAGAAATGTTGATTTTCTCTCATTATCTCATTATGATCGTGCAATATTACTTCGAACTACAGTAGAATATACGTCAAATGTTGCCAGTATGTTCATATTATGTCAGTACAAATTATGTGATTATCCACTTTTCTATAAATCTACTGAAATGATATTTAAATCATCTGCAGCAAAATTCACTAGACGTATTATTGATCAACTTGATCCAGATAATACATTTATTAAATTAATACTTTCAATTCTTGCATTTTCAACAACCAACTATACTGTATATAAAAAAAATATGCCAATTAATTTAACAAATATCAAAGGAATTTTATCTATTCAAGATATGTATACAGATTTAACATGGCGATATCTTTTATATAGATATGGTCATTATCAAGCTGTAATACGTTTTTCAAATCTTCTAAGTTGTCTTTTTTCTGGAATTGAAGCTATTGTTGAAGTACATGAATTATAAAAGTTTACAGAAATGATTTCTACTGTTCCTCATAAAACTAAACAAACATTGTAGTCAAAGGAATTTTTTTTTTGTTTACTTTTATTGTTTTTATTCATGATTAACATGCACTTTTTAAATAAATATCAAATATAAATTGTTCAGTTAATGAATAGACCAAAAGTTTTGAGATAAAATATATGTTTATTTTTTGGGATTTGTTGAAAGTCTATCTGATAAATGTAGAAATAATGAGTTCGGACCAAAATTTTGTACTCTTTTTGAATGTGAACATAAAAATTTCGTCTTAGTTTTTGTTCAAGACTAATATGGTAATCTAAACAATGTTTTATGACCTTTCAAAGATTACTTCATTAGTTTCGAACGAAAACTAAAATAATTTTTCAAAGCAATTAGCAGAATAGCAAAAGTTATCATTGAATTTTGATCAATGATATATTCACAAATAAATAAATGAATATTCCTCTTATAAGTGAATGATATCATTTAATTATAAATAAAATATACAGAAAACAAAATTAAATTAAACCATATAAACCAACCTAAATTATGCGGTCTTAATAATCATAGTATGTAGTATTTTTACGATACGTGATTATAATACAATCGTCTGTATTATCTCATGTACCAATAGAAATATTTTCGACCTATAGTTCTTATATACTTAAATAGACGGTGACAAAAACTGTTAGCTAGTCATTATATTATGATATCAAATGGTACATCTAAAAATAGAGTATTTTTCCTATTTTCTCATTTTTAACATAATTTCATATTGGCTCTATGCGTACAGCAGTGATATAGATAAGCTGATATAGTAAAGTACAGATTCTATTGACTTAGTATAACACACATGTATATATAATTCTAGTTATGATTTGTATTTATGAAAAAAATTCAATACTTCAAAATAAAGAAAATGATTATTAGAGGCTAAATCGCTGAATTTTGTGGTTTAAAAAAATATTATAAAGTCGATTGGAAGTTCATAGGATTTTTTTTTATCACATATTTGAAGATAGTGAGATCTTCAATCTCTGTAAGTTCTAGTTTGACTGTAGATACTTTTGAATATGGTGATAGACTGTTGATGAAACTATTCAGTAGTTTTCTTCTTCGACTTTACATATCGTTTTTTTTTCAATCTTACAGATTAAAATCTTCTAATCGCTAGATCACGTGAGAAACTCGTGATATGTTTAGATGAGTAAAGTGTGTAATAATTGAATATATTCATTTGATAATAATTTATTTGATATGTATTTGATTGTACTTTAAAAAAATTTCGAAGAAGATTAAAAATATACAGATTTTATTTTTTACTAGTGGAATATTCATTTTCTCTTGAAAGATATTTTTCAATAATAGAACTGAATGATAATTATTAAATTAAAAATAAAAACTAGATAAATAACAGAATTTTCATTATGATAAATTTGTTGCTCTCTTGTGTGACAATCAGAAAAAAAATCAATTATAGAATGTATTTCACTAAAATAGTCTTAAATTTTCTTCTCACATCTTTTACTTTTAATGATTTAAGATCATAAAATTCAGTACTAACCGAATTAGTATTCTGTCGCAATAGAAAAATATGTACAATAGTTGTATATGAGTGGAAGAAAAGAAAACAAACCGTAAAAATTTTATTTAATCTTTTCATCAACAGAAAAAATCAGCTCATCAAGGTCAACTTGTTTCACCTATTTTTGTGCAGAAAGAACATATTTTTCTTTTCTCTCTCAATCTAGAACTAATGTTCGATAATTAACAGACACGTTCTCTTGTGTTGATTAAAAAAAAAACTTTTTTCTTTTCTGTGTTTCACTTCCTTCGCAATGTCACACTTTGTTTATACACTGAAGTCATACGGTACGTCTTGTTAGCCTTCCTTTTCTTCTTTCTCTAATTCATGAATGCATTTTCTACGAAGCATATGTATGACATTTTCAGATATAATAATGGAAAGAACAACTACTATAGATGATTCAACTACATCGCAAATACTGTCTACCAATGTCGAGCGACAGAAAAATACAATTTCAACTGAATGTAAAATTTGTGGATCTCCTGCTCGATATTCTTATTATGGTGTTATTGTATGTCATTCATGTAAAATGTTTTTTAAACGAAATGCAGAAAATAGACAAGTTGATTGAAATTAAAATTTCTTTATTTTTTTAATTAAAATTGATTTATTTAGGCAATATTGAAATGTTACTATGATAATCAATGTAACATTACTATGGATAATCGTCATGCATGTACTTCATGTCGACTTGAAAAATGTTTCAAAATGGGAATGCGTATTGAAATGATTCGATCTTCAACATTCAGAAAAAATCAGAAAAGAAGAAAAATAAAATTTATTATTGATTCAAACCAATCACCGTCAACAATGTCAATGACAGTTAACAAGAAACATAAGCCTGAATATGTAAGTTTGTTAATATTTTATATTGTTTTGCTTGTTAAAGTATTATGGTCAAAGAACAAAAAAACAATTGTAAAAATCGTTTAGTCTAATCACAATTGACAACTTTACTTTCAAACTAGGACAAGAACCATAATAATTATCTTAATATAACTATTATTAAAATGAGAATCGTAAAAAGAATTAATTTTCTATGTTCATAATGAAAGTTCTTGAGTTGAAATTATATTCATAGTTTAAGATTTGAATTTATTGTAAAAACAGATTCTCATTCGACAACGAATATTAAATCAAATTTGATTACTAAAATTTTACAAAGATTAGAGTCCGTTCAATCGAACATTTTGGAATCCGAACTCGCGTCCAATTTGTACCACGTTTTTCAGGTTCGGACTCAAATGCCAATTGTAGCATTAATTTCAACAGAATGTTTTAGTCTAAATCTGATAATTACTTCGAATTCTGCTTCTACCAGGCCGTACGCATTTCTCAGACAGTCTCAATGATAATCTTATAATAATTAAATTATAGGTAGCTGTTATTTGTAAAGTATAAACCGTTGGATTGATCCCGAATTGAGACCTTGACCCGACTAAGTCCGAGACGAACATGATGTAGTCTTTGATACGATTGAGGTGAAATATTTTCCTTAGAATGATAATTAGTTGTTTATAATCAATTAACTTATATAATTAATCTCAAATATTGTGTTAGAATAGTGTGATTCATAGGTATTATCTCAAAAACCTCAACTCGACATCGAATTAAATTGATACTGACAGTATACCAAACGTAGTTTTCGGACGTACTTTTATTTCTTATAAAAAGCTTAAAGAATCTTTCTCTCTATACGGAGTGATAGAGTAAAAACAACGTTCTATTTTTCTGCACTGCTATGTCATTTTTCAACGAATATCATAATAATAAAATTTCAATAAGACCTATATGATTATGATATGTAACGGTTCAATCCGTTCATATTGTCTTCGATTTGTATTCTCTTCATTCTTTTTTCTCCCCTCTTTTAATGCCTAACCTATCTACATATATATCCTCGTGGAAAACAAATAGTTAGACTTTATTTTCTTAATATATCATTACTATAAATCAATATTCCTAGAAAAATAATTATATATTCTGATAGCACGCCAAATTCTCTACAACCTTACATATATATGTTTTGAATTGCACTTATTACTCAAGCACACTAAAAGTACTCTCACCGTCAGATTATCCGGAAATGCATTTTTTTGTTTTCTTTTCATTGATTTTTTTTTTCAAACTTATTTTAATATCAGAAAGAACTATTACAAAACTAAGCGTATATCCAAGAAATTTAGAATCTGTTGAGCAGAATAGCTTTTATGAACAAAACACTCTTCAACTATCAACCGGTCAATCTCATCTTTTGACTGTAAGTAGGATTCAGTGGAAGTAAGAAGACACACTTATATAAGTAAAAGAATCCCATTTTCTTACACCTATGTGTGACAATGAGATCTTCATCCAGACATATCATGAGCACGAACTCTTTTAGGATTTTCTTAGTCTCACAGTTAAAAGATGGAATCGAAAGGCGTCCAACAGTTGAATATGTTCTCTCATTAGTAAGAAATACAAGACAAATTTTGAAGCGTTCAAGATAATTTCGAGATCTTTTGTCAGATTTTATGAATTCTTTAAAATATTGTCTATTAAAAATAGTCTTTTATTATTGATTTATTTTAGATTCCAACATTAAGCCTCTTAGAATCTGATCAATCACCATTGAATATTAATCAATGGAATCTTTTATCAAATTTAGTTCATTGTTTCGATCAACATAGTGGATATGCATTTGTTGAACATTTTCTCGAAGAACAAAATCGATTACCTATCAAATTACGATACAAATATCCATCAGTTTGCAATTTTTTTACATCAGTGAAGAGTAATATTCAACTTGTCTTCGAGAAAAATCGTGATTTTCTTTCATTATCTCGTCATGATCGTACAACATTACTTCGAACTACAGTAGAATATACAACAAGTATTGGTGGTATGTTCACATTACGTCAGTATAAATTATTTGATTATCCACCTTTCTATGAATCTACTGAAATGATATTTAAACCATCTGGAACAAAATTCGCTAGACGTGTTATTGATCAACTTGATCCAGATAATACATTTATTAAATTAATACTTTCAATTCTTTCATTCTCAACAACCAACTATACTGTATATAAAAAAAATATGCCAATTAATTTAACAAATATCAAAGGAATTTTATCTATTCAAGATATGTATACAGATTTAACATGGCGATATCTTTTATATAAATATGGTCATCACGAAGCTGTAATACGTTTTTCAAACCTTTTAAGATGTCTTTTTGTTATAATTTGGGCCATTGTTGAAGCACATGAATCACAAAAGTTTATAGAAATGATTGATTCTGTTATTGAACAAACTAAACAAACATTGTGTTTGTAATCAAAAGAATTCTTTTTATTGTTGTTGTTTATATTGATGACTAGCTAAAACAATATGCATACTTGAAATAAACATTAAAAAGATGTTATTTAGTCATTCGAAAAGCCATTGAGTATATTATAATTGTAGAATCGAGTAGTTCTATGTGGTTAAGAAAGATTTTTGTTTTATATATCTGTTTTATTTTTTATCGATGAGATCATTCAAAATTCAGATTAATTCATTTATCTGAACTGTCTGTATACGAAAAATTTTGCAAAAAATTTCTCTAGTAGAATATTTCTAAAAATTATTCTGAAATGTAAATTTTTCAACGTGATATGTAGTTTAAAAGGAAACTTTTAGTACGAAATGAATTGACTTATTAAACTTTAACATTGTTTACATTGTCATGTACTCAAACTTTTGCAACAATTGTACTTTAATGTGCGAAAAAAAGTATTTATCCCACAATTTTAATGGTAATCTAGTTGATCGAATGAACAAAATTTCGAATTGCCTGATAAAATCGAGTAATATGTTCAACAACTTAAGCTTTTCAATTGGAAAATATTTCAATAATCGAACTAGTCTTTATAAATACAGAATAATATTCTATCTATGCGTAGCTTCACAGTCAGTAACACATTCTATGTCTATTATAATCAATCATCGTTTCGTGACTACACGTCATTTTTACACAATTCGGTACAAGTTAGCTATGTGCAAAGTTATTTTATCCTACTCTGTAAAGTGACGGTTACAAAATTATTCTCAATCGAGACAAAGGATAGGAAAATAGCTTATCCTGCATGTCTTTAATGTGATAATATTTTGCTATGTGTCACTTTTAGAGTCTTCCAACTAGAGTAGCATTAAAGAATAGTAAGATAAAAACTTTTTAGGGTAAAGTAAAGGTAGAGGTTCTACAGGATAGGGTAGCGTAAGGGATAGAAGATTTTCTTCAGCATTCAGTCCATCCAGGAGTTTTATGACTGGGATGCAAAAACTATTCATAGCTGAAATAATTAGAAGATGAAGTTGAATATATTTCTGAAATGTGTAAAACTCTTATATTTCGTGAAATATTTCGAACGTTTTGTCTGAATTTAGAAAGTATTAAGTATATTACGAACAAAAAAGAAAAAATAGTCGCTAGGTATTCATGAACTCTCATCCTATATGCTTGATAAAATTTCTCGAAATGGCTGGCTTCTCTTAATTCATCTCTATAATTATTCCTTTTCCAAAGGTTACATTCAAAGAGGTAAGAATGGTATTATTGACTAAGAAAAATGTTATATGTGCACCTGATTGACGGATGTTCTAGAAAACTTACTAGAATGAGAATCACACAAGCTTATATCAACTGGATCCGAACGTGGCTAACTGATCGTCAAGCAACTATCGAGATGCAAGGTAAAAGATCGCGATGAATTACAATTCAACTAGGTGACCCTAAACGGTTTAGTTTAATATCTACGTTATTCATCATAAATTACAGTGATATGGCTAACTATATCCCCAGAACAATACTCTTTTTCTTCGCAGACGATCTCACGACCGTACTGTTGAGATAAAGTGGAATTCGATTTATGGATCAGTGTCTAGATCTAGAACGCCGACTACAAACGTATTTAGAACAACTTGAACTTTACTCGATATTGGCAACAAATTCTTTACCTCAGGTAGGTTGTGGTAGTCATTCGATTGAGTGGATTTATTCATTCAAGTACTTGGGTTATTGACTAAAAATGAAGTTAGACTGAGGAAATATTATTGGCAAAACTTGTCTAAAGGTTCGCCAGCAAACAATCAGTGGTATATCCTCCACATAATTACGACGCATTCTCTTTTCTACTTTCGTACTATTTCGCTTCACATAGTTATTTGAGCTTTACCCTTTATTTACCGGTTTTCAGCGTATGTAGCTTAACCAGTTATATTACTGCCAATATTGAGACGACTTCGTCTTTGCGTTTATGTACAATGAAAAATCACTGGATGATCGTTGCTATACCTACGGAAAAAATATGCAAAAGCGCTGATGAACTCTAGAGATAGATTCCTGCTATCGACACAATTAGACTGGCAAAAGGAAGCAGGATGAATTTGCTGTTTTCACAAGTCAAAAAAGATTCATGCTACACATGGATGTACTCGAGCAAGCGATTAGATGGATGGCAATGTATGATACTTCCAATTCCGTAGTAGTATGCAATGAAGAAGAACTTTTATGCTCTGCTTTATTTCCGGAAAGTTTCCAGACAGACGATTCTAGGCTACGTTGACAAAGAAAAGAAGAGAAGAATAACAGGAAAACAGGAGAAAAGACTCAGAGAAGAGAAAAGAAAACAACGTGAATTAGGATCGTGGTTAGAGCCTAGAAGAGACACGAACAAGGGGAAAGAACGGAAAACTACGTATATATATATATATATATATACATGTATTACTCATCTCTTTCAAACATGCTATCTCCACAATTATTCTGTTAACCTTGTTCTTTTTCTCGCTTCATACCATATTTGTTGCTTCACGCTTCTTTTTGTTTTGTATTTCTTTGTTTTCTTTTTCTTTTGTTCCTCTTATTTTATTTTACTTTAGTTCACTATTGGTATCTATGGTCCTAAACCTCAATTATCTCTTTAGGACCGACACGGTCATAGGATTAAAGAATGCTAATAATAAAAAGATTTAAATGATGTTTTTTTTAGTGCAGTTCAACGCTGTTCGGTACGATATATTATTTTCTACTGTCTTTATTATGAAAGAAAATCAATCGTACAACATAGGATAAAATAATGCTTTAGAAATATTAATTTAGTAGAATAACTTTCATTGATCGATTTTTGAATATAATTATTTATTAAATTTCATATCAGAAACACTTCTCCTACGTACAGTTTTTGATATTAACATTGTTCTGAGAATTATCATTGAGTTTATAAATCAATTTATGTCATTAGTAAATTTTCCTAAAAATATTAACACTGTAAACTTTCAAATGTGACCTACAAAAAGAATTGAATAAGTTAAACTCAATCCCAGTGCATCCCTAGACACGCTACTATATGCGGAGCTTTATATTCAGAGATACAATTTTCAACATGCTTCTCTTAGTTATTTTACTCAAGTCTCGATCAACTTGAGTATATTAACTATGACTAAAACGGGCTAGATTTTTTTTTTGGCTGTCTCATCACAAGAGATTTTTAACTATTTACATGTCGCTGTAACATTCTTTTCGTTATCTCGGCCTTGAAAAGATCCATCCATTCTATTTTTATTTTGTAATGTTTGCTTCTACGCATTATATCTTATCTTTTTGGATGCTATTTTAGTAGGATACTACATTATTTATTGTTCGAAAAACGAAAATAATATTTTTAGAAAATAAATAATCTCTATAAGTTAAATGAGATATGTCATTTTTCTTATAGATAAAAAAACCAAGTAGTTCTGCAAGATCGTCAAAGATTTTCTTTGGAGTCGTATACTAAGAGAGAAAAATAGATTAATTCTAGTTGATAGTATATTCTTTGTTTTTGATTCATCTGTAATAAAAACCTAAATTTGATTATCTTTCTTAACGAGTAGTTTCATAGAGATATAACATATGAACAAATATTAAATCCTTTCTCTAATTCTATGATAATTAATATAAAGAAAATCACTGATAAACACATTATCAGTTCTAAATACTGATTGAATTTATTACTACCGACTTCTTTTTATTGTCAGTAGTTTAAACAATATCTTCTAACATATAATCTTGAATGTTGATTGTTTGCATTTGTCAAAAGAATTAATTATTTCCATTTAATTCTGAATGATATTAATTTTTTTCTAAAGTAAATCAGTTGTAAAAAACATAAAAAGGCTGTTCTATAAGTAGTGAAAATTCTGTTTTACTACAGAATTTAGCAAGACAATTTTCTAAGCGAAGAAAGATGCAAAAACAAATAGAATTACGTTCTAATCTATGAATTATCTAATTGTCTATTATTGACTGAATTTTCTACGCATTTAATTCTTAGAATTATTCAATTTATTAAATATTTTTGCATGTCTGAATTGTAATTTGATTCTGTATGTAAAATTATTTTAACTAAACGGAAGCATTAAAAAAAATCAATTGAATATATTATATTAAAACAAAAAAAAAAAGAAATTTTGTCTCCTCTAATTATCCCATTTTTATTTTTCTTTGGGTAATCTAATTATTTGTAAAGGTATACAAAAGAGACTATTTATATGTTTTCATTGATTTATCAAAGATAAAAAAAAATTGTTGTTTGAATAAAATAATAATAGTATATTGATTGACAATCATCCAATATCTAAATTTTGATTAATTAATTCTAAATTATTTAAAAATATTATTTTTATAGAATAAAAACCAAAATCATTAATTTATTTCTATCATTGACAGATTAGTAGAAATATTCTCTACAATAGAATATAAAAATGAACTAGTAAATTTTAATTATTAGTCGTCATATTTCTTATCTTGTATCAAAACTTTCTTTTCACTTTGTTTCATCCAAACAATCATTGCAATTGTTACTATAGATAATTTATTAACCTTCTCTTTTCATTCTTCATGTCGTTTTTTCGCTTGAGAAAATTAAAGTTTCCTAATTGTTTATTCGAGTGGAAAATTTGTTCCACATGCATGCATAAAATAAATCGCATGTTTATATAAATGAACTCTGTAATATTCTAAAATATTCAATTTACCGTAATTATCTGAGTAAGTTTTGAATTGTCCTAAGGAAAAAAACATCATTTGAGAGAGCAAAAAGAGTACATATTTCAAGCGACTCATCTATTTTTTGGTTAAATTTTATCTTAAGGAAATTTCCTCACATACATCATATTCGAAAAACCAAAAATAAAAGTATAGTCTGAAAAAACCAGGAACTGTCATACTCGCTTGAGTTTTATTGACCTTTTGCGCAATAATCCTAGAATAAATCGGTAATATAATATGGCGCAATTAGATACTCATGCTTTTGTTTGATATATTCTAGTGTAATGAGTCATCACATTTTACGTTTACGTAAAAAGAGAATGAGTCACAATCAAAAATTTTAGTATTAAGTAAAATTAGAATTATTGTTGGATCAAAACAAAAATATAATATACTTATTCCAATGGAAGGAACAAAGTAAACAATTAGACTAGTTTTTATTTTTATAAATAAAAAGTTCATCGAGGGCAACTCGGTGCATTGCTATTTTTACACTCTATCCACATTTATTCTTTCGACTGAAGAACAACCACCGTCGATCGACACATTTTCTTTTTTTCTCCATCATTCTTTTCTTGACAAGAAAGCAAAAAATTCTTTTTTCTCTACCCATTTTTACTACACAATATAGTTATGCACTGGAGGTAGAGGTTACAATTTTGCTTTGCTTAGATCATTGAGCTTCTCTAAAGCCAACAAGGTGGTGTCTACAAAACCAACATGTTTTAGTTTGATATTGAATAATGAAAGAACCATTGACTGAAGATCCGAACACTACACCAATATTTTCTACCATTGTTGGACGACAGAGAACAACAGTTATATGTAAATGTAAAATTTGTGAAGCATCTGCACGATATTCTTATTATGGTGCCATTGTATGTCATTCATGTAAAATGTTTTTTAAACGAAATGCAGAAAATCGAAAGGTTAAGCTTTTTTGCTTTTTTTGTTTTCGTCATATTTATATTGTTTTTTTTTAGTCAATATTAAAATGTTCGTCTGGTAATAAATGTGATATTAACATGGGTAATCGTCATACATGTGCTTCATGTCGACTTAGAAAATGTTTCATGAATGGAATGCGTAGTGAAATGATTCGATCATCTCAATGCAAGAAAAATAAGAGAGATAAAAAAAGAAAATTGATTATTGATTCAATACCATTAACGTCGACAACATCAGTGATATTGAACAAGAAATTTCAATTTGATCAAGTAAAAATTTTCATATAATTATATTAATTCGATTTCTACAAAGGATATTAAATTATTGATAGATTATTTTTACCTCATGAAATTTAATTATAACACTATATTGAAAAACTTTACTGAAGAAATTTTGCCTTGGATAAAACGAAATAAACTAAACAGTAATGATACTATCCGATATTTTTAAAATGAATGTTACCATTAGTAAAAAGGGTAGAATAACAAAGCTTTTGATTAGTGCATGTGGGTATAAGTATTAGGCTTTCCTACATCTACACACATTCCTGGATTGAAGAGCTAGCACTACTCATTTAATGCAAATATTGTCACTTCCAATCGAAACTTGTATGTAGTGATTCAATGAAAGAATATTTGTTCAACACATCTATGATGAAACAACTTGATAATACTATGAATAAGATTCCATGAAAGAAGAAAAAATTTATTTTTTGAAATCAACGAATACTTGATTTAATGAAACGATATGAAAAAGATTATTTATCATGAGATGAATATTTTAATAAGATTAGGAAAAAATAATAATTATATTTTTTTATCACCATCTTATGCATTATTGAACTCTATGTTCTTATTTTTATTATTAAAATTACCGACTCTAATA